TTCAGAATCAAATGACTGCCAATCTTCTCAGTCCTAGAGTCACCTGAAAGTATATTTTCAAATTATGAAAGATTTTATTTGCTTCAAGCAAATACTTGCATTTTATAATAATAATTGAAACATTTAATTTTCTTTAGAACATTTAAAAATTATAAAATTTATTATAATACATTTTTATTAAAACAAAGAAAAGTGAAAGGCATACTAGCCTCTATTTTGTCACATTATCATGGAGCCATTATAAAAAATTAAAATTAGGTTGGTATAAAATATCGGTATAATGTGCATATAATCAAGCGATATGTAATCAAGTATTTTATATCACTGCATGGACATAATATTCTCAGAGCAAAAGAATCAATAAATATGGTAAAACCTACACACAAGTGAGCCTTTTGATGAAGTGAATTGAGATGTATCCATTTGTGATTGGCTTAATTTGAATATGTGTTAATGGAAGATGACCTCTATCAGTCTGTATTTTGGTTTCACAGTGGGGCCTCCCTGCATAACTCATAGCTGGATAGTTAGACTTGCTCTGGTGATTTCATTAACCTTGCAATAATGCAAAGTCTTATTTTACTAATTTTCTTAACCTCACTGATAGTTTCATGCCAGGTTTTGCTACTTTAAAATGCCTGCGGTACATATGAGGCAGTTGGGTATACAGAAATTTGAGATATGGTCATTTCTTACCAGTATCTTAGAATTTTGATGTAGAATTAAAAATTTAAAGCATTTTGCTAATGTAAAGATTATATATATTTGTGTGTGTATAGCATTAACTTTTTAAATAAGTAATTACATGTACCAAATTAAAATACATACAAACATGTAAAAAACTCAAAAGGTACTGAAGGACATATAGGGGAAAATCTACCTTCTATCCTTGTCTTTCAGGCATCTCCCTTCCCATAGTAAATGTGATTGCTATGTATAGGTATATACTGTATGTTGCCTTTTCACTTTGTTGATGGTTTCTTTTGCTGTGCAGAAGCTTTTTAGTTTGATATAGTTCCACTTGTTTGTTTTGATTTTGTTGGTTGTGCCTTAGGTGATTTCCAAAAAAACTATTACCAAGACTCATGTCAAGTAGCTTTTTCCCTATATTTTCCTCCAGGAGTTTCATGTTTTACATTAAAGTCTTTAATTTATTTCAAGTTAATTTTTGTGAGTGGTGTAAGATAGGGGTCACCTTTCATTTTCTTAACTTGTGAATATCCAGTGTTCCCAGCACCACTTACTAAAAGCTGTCTGTTCTTCATTGAATGTTTTTGGCTCCCTTGTCAAATATTAGTTAACTGTATATACTTGAGTTTATTGCTGGGCTCTCTGTTCCTTTCCATTGGTCTATTTGTTTGTTTTCAGGCTAGTACCATACTGTTTTGATTACTATAGCTTTATGTAGTATAATTTGAAATCAGGTGTGACACGTCTGGCTCAGGACTTCTTGGGCTGTTCAGAGTCTTTGTGGTTCCCACTACCGTAAATTTTAGGAGTGTTTTTGTTCCCTGTCAAAATGCCTTTGGAATTTTGATAGGTATTGCATTGAAGCTATAGATGGCTTTTGTTAGTATTGACATTTTAACAATATTCTTCCATTTCATGAACATGGGATACCTTTCTAATTACTGTGTTTGTGTCTTCTCCAATTTCTTTCATCAGTGTCTTATAGTTTTCAGAGTAGCGATCTTTCACATCCCTGGTTAAGTTTATTCCTAAGTATTTTATTGTTTTGATGCTATTGTAAATGGGATCAGTTTATTTCTTTTTTGTAAAATGCATTGTTAGTGTATAAAAATGCTATTGATTTTTATATTAAATTTGTCTTTTAACTACACTGAATTCATTGATTAGTTTTAAGAGCTTTTTAGTTGAGTTTTTAGGATTTTCTATACATAAAATTTTTTGTCACCTGCAAATAGAGACAGTTTTACTTTTTCCTTTCCAATTCTGATACCTTTTATTTCTTGTCTGATTGCTCAGACAAGGACTTCCAGGATACTAGGACTTCCAGTATCCCTACTATTTCTGCCCAGGCAAACCAGCTGGCCTACATTTTACTTATTGCCTAGGAAGTTTTAGGTCCTCCCCATTATCTTTTACCACATTCTCTACTCTTACAGAGTTTCATTACATAACCATGATTGATTAAACTACTGGCCATTGAAGTTTTCCATGCTATGTTGAAAATAAAGTAATTGCCTTTGGAAGAAGTCAGGAGCTGTTTTATGGCGTGTTTCCCCTTTTAGGCAAAGTTTCAGCCTGCAGCTCTGGAGGTGTGTGTGCAGAGAGAACAATGGCAGGATTTTCTTTAAGGACACTCTCGCTTTAGGAGCTGAGTGCTAGGGGGAAGGAAGAAGGAAAGAAGGTCTTCTTGGTTTGCTTCTTCTAGTAAGATTCCAGCCCTTTACAAGCTAAGATAAGGGTGATTGGGACCCCAGTATTAGCACACTATTAGAAGTAGAGCCTCTATCCCACCATTTAAAGCTGAGGAGAAGTGAGCCTTTTCCCCCTGCCCCCGACCTTTTGGCTGCACTCACCTGAAACTTAGCCTCAGTCAAAGGTAACTGAGGGCCAAGTGTTACTTGGAATAAAAGATCATTCTGAAATTGTCTTCATGTACATATCCAAGATAAAGGAAAACATATGTCCACACAATAACTTGTACACATGTTCATAGTAGCATGATTTATAGCACCCACAAAATGGAAATCTATGGAACTTTCAGCCCTGTCCCCTGTGTAGGGAAGAGAGGTTGGACATTGAATTACTGTATTTTGCTGTGTATAATGTACAGGTTTTTTGCCCAAATTTTTGAGGGAAAAATAGGGATGCACATTATACATGGGTATAATCATTACATACCATGGGTATACTAATGGGTGTAATAATCCCATGTATAATTCTCACAAAAGTCTGGTACGCATTATACATGGCAACATACAGTAGTCACCAATTGCCAGTGGCTTAAGTGATCATGCCTATATAATGAAACTTACCTAAAAGTTACTAAAATAGTGTTTTACAGAGTTTCCAGGTTGGTGAACACATGGAGGTGCTGGGAGGGTGTTTTATCTGGAGAGGACATGGAGACTTTGTACCCTTTCCCCCACGTTTTGCCCTGTGCATTTCTTCCATCTGACTATTCCTGAGTTATGTCCTTTTATAGTAAACTGTTAAAATAGTTAAAAAAAAAAGTGCAAGCCCAAATGTCCCTCAACTGATGAATGGTTAACAAAATGAGTTATTACATACAGTGGAATAATATTCAACTATTTAAAAAGAACAGAATACTTATTACATGCTATAACATGATTGAACCTTCAAAACATCATCTAAGTGAAAGAAGCCAGTCACAAAAGACCGTATATTCTAAGATCCTATTTATCTGTAATGTCTAGAATAGAGACAGAAAGCAGATAGGTGGGTGTCTAGGACTGAGAGGTGCAGGGGGAATGGAGAATGATTGTTTGATGGGTTTCTTTTTGGGTGTGATGAAAATGTTCTAAACTTGATTATGATGATAGTTGCATATATCTATGAATATATGAAAAAACATTGAATTTTATACTTTAAATGGATAAAATTTTATGGTCTGAATTATATCTCAATAAAGATGCTAAAATAAAAGAAAGTCTGGTCACTTTTGTTATCGTTTAAAATGTACAAGATATATCTTTTTTTATTCAAATATTATATAGGCCAGACTTGCAAAGCATTGTGATTTTACAAGTCATAATAGGGCCATATTTGATATTTCAATAGGAAACCTCCTATTGTGTGATAAACATATTGTGATCTAATGTAATGTAATTTACTTTTGGTGGACTTAGTAGTTTTTAATCTTGTATTATATATTGACATTTTATTTTAAGTATACTATAAATTTATTGGAAGCTTTGATTTTTGTGATACTTTTCATTTATTTCTGGTGTTGTAATTGTTTTACATTTTCAAAGATTTCCCTCTTTGTTCATTTTTTATGATTTGCAAACAGTTTACTAGTAGTGTTAATAATTTCTACCATTTGTACATCGGGAACCACTGAATTTGAAAAGCTAGGCTTGTCAATATAATTGTTTTCAACCATGTCTTTTCAACTATTTTAGCATTGCTATTAGATCATGTAGTTGTATTTAACTTGCTTATTTCCACTCTGATTTGTCCCCCACTCCTCCATATAATGGAAAAAGAACATTTGTTTCATTGGTGGTCCTCTTGTGCTATATATTTATGATAATTTTTGTCTCTGAAATATCTTTTTTTTTATTTCACACAAGAGCACCTCCCTTGCCTTTGTCTTTTCTTCATATTAATTCTTAGGGAGAAAGGCAAGGTGTAATAGTCCCTCTCATTTCTTCTATCACCTTAAGTTCTCATGGAAAGTTAAGTTCTTTTTGCCCCAGTAAATTGTTCTCACAGTAATAATAGGCACAAATATCAATATATACTTTTGTATGAATGCGTATGAGATATAAAACCTGTTGTTTTTCAAATATTTCTTTTTCTTTTAGTAAGTTGTAATACTTATAAAACTACTTAAATATAACCTTCTTGAAGAAAGGTTACCTTAAAATTGTTTTAAAGAGGCTTGACTGGCGTAGCTCAGTGGATTGAGCGCAGGCTGCGAACCAAAGCATCGCAGGTTCAATTCCCAGTCAGAGCACATGCCTCCGTTGCAGGCAACGGTCCCCAGCAACTGCACATTGATGTTTCTCTCTCTCTTTCTCCCTCCCTTCCCTCTCTAAAAATAAATAAATAAAGTCTAAAAAAATTGTTTTAAAGTATTTATATATAACAAAAAAATATATTCTAAAAACTTTTCTTAGAAATTATAAAATTGCTTAGTTTTTCTAGAAAAACTTGACTAGTCATTATTTCCACAGAATAGATCAAATAGATTTAAATATAATAATAGAATAGATAAAATAGATTTTTTAAATATGATTTAGAAAATTGGTATATGATATAATGGGTTATTTCCCCTTCTTTTTCAGGAACTCTTGGTGTGATAACAGAAGCTACAATAAAAATCAGACCACTCCCTGAATATCAAAAGTTTGGCTCAGTAGCTTTCCCTAATTTTGAACAAGGAGTAGCCTGTTTAAGGGAAATTGCAAAACAGGTAATAAATAAACAAACAAAAAACCAAACCCACACATATATTCTTAGATTTTTTAAATTCTGATGTATAATTGATTTTGATATGTCACATAGAATCTTCATATATAATTGTGTTGTATTTGTGGTTTTCACCTAGTCCTGTATCAAAAGGTAATATTTTAAAATCATCCTTTTAAATGCAGTTGCATTTTTTTTCAATAATTATACACCTATTTTTGGTTTGAAAAGTGCTGTGCAATTTTAAGCCAAGGTAAGATATATACTTGGGTTGATAGCTTTGAATGACTTTGCCTTTTATTTAATGTTATGCTTTCTTTTGTTATTTTTGGGTGAAATATTTTGTGATGAATTGAAGCAATATTTAATTTTTCTTAAGGCATTTATTGAAATTGAAATAAATGGCTGAATATCAGTGGCCCAGGAATTTAGAAATTATCTGTGGGCAGTCAATTCTTAGAATGTACTGCTACCAGGCTCTACTTTGTTTTATAGTGTTGCCTATTCTGTAGCTTAAACGAAGTGATACAATACAGGATAGCATCATATAACATAATGTATTTACTTATAACTGAAAGAATTTCCTTTCTTCCTTCCTTCTTTTAAAGGATATATTTTCAAGGGTCTTTAAAAGACTAGGTAATACAAAAGTAATTTTTTTCTCTATTTAGTTCTGTGCATCAGTGTGGAAATTCTCACATTTCTTTAGGCATTTGGTTCATTGTTTGAACTACAGTGGTTTGTGAAAAATTCTTTTTTCCACATTTTCTAAAAACAGGGGGAAGTTAAGAGAATATGTTTCAGCCTCTTCTTGCTTTCTCCAAACTCCTGGAGTTCTTTAATACTTCAACTATACTAGACTAGAATCTTGAAGGCCTGGGAGCTTTCTGATGTGATCTGTCATAGGTTATCTAACAGTTTACCAGTGCAGAGTGGAAGGAGCATCTGATGAGGCAAAGACATTTTAACCAGCAGGCACTCTATGTTGATGGTAGACTTGACGAGGTACTGACACAAAAAGTGGTGAGGAGCCCTGTCTTCCCACTATCCCAAGAGAACCACTGTTGTTTTAAAGAACATTTAAAATGAGGAAAAAACTATTTTAAAGAAATTTAATATGAGGGAAAAAAGTTATGTTTACCCACATAGTTACCATTTTCAGTGCTCTTTTATTCCATACACTCAGTTCAGTTTTGTTTTCTGAGAAACTCATTCTTCCTGATAGTTTCCCACTTTTAGGAAGTCCAGCTATATGGACTCATCACCTTATCTAACAGTTGACAAGGATGATTTTTATAATTTTCAAATGGCTTTTGTTACTTATCAGCTGGATTGCTTTTCCCATCAAGAATTAGCCATAGGGCCCTTAATCCTGAGTGTGTTACCTCTGGGCACAGGAGAGAGTTTAAAGAGAAGTGTAGTCCTAGAATCAACATGCTTGAACTTGTGGCCGGTCGCTTTGGTGGGGTTAAAGTATAAGTGAATGTTAAAGGCTGAAATCCTTATGAGAGTGCCCCTAGTTTACTAGCACTTTGGGGATGTATAGTAAGTATTATGCTATGTTCACTAAAATAATGAGATGGTAACAGAATTTAAAAGTAGGCTGATTGAATAAAGGAGTGGAGATAAGTTTTAGGAGTAAATATCTGAACACTGAGCAAGTCTTCTGTCACTTAAAGGCCAAGGAAAGTAAATTCAAATTTAAGACACCCCTGGTATTGAGAAGTGAAAGAACTACTTGTAGAGCATTGTGGTTTTGCCTAAGAGTTAATACCTAGAAAAATGGGAAGCTAAATAAAACCAAACATTTTCTACAAATAGATTGTATTTTTTTGTTAATTTCAAAATTTTCCTTAGTGGGTAATTTTTTTATTCCAGTATTTCTACTTTGCATTGTAATTTATTCGTTGTGTTAAGTTCTTTATTTTTATTTACTTTTTGTCTTTGCCAGGCTTGACTGTTCTCTCCCAAAAGCTTTATTATTAAAGATACAGTTCAGATTATTTTTCTTGTTCAAGTTTTGAATGCCATCTTTTAAATTGACCATTATTGCCTTTATGCTTTGTAGCAGAATAAACATAAATGCCAAATTAGATTTAAAAAATAATTACAGACTTTATAAAACTGGTCTGATTTGTATGTTTTCTATTTTCAACAAAAGATAAAAGTCACATTCAGTCTGTGTTGGTCCACCTCTGCCCCTACACAGTGCATCTGCTCTGTGGAGGACAGATTTAGTGTTGTTCTATGTCTTTGGTGTAGAAGTAGATGTATTTTATGTATTCCTGAGTGCTCCATCTGCTTTTCCACATTGCAAATGCTTGCGTATAATTATATCTAGGTTTTATTAATGAGAAGTAATATACATCAAAATCTTAAGTTTATAATTTCATTATAGTGAAAATGTTGGATTTAAACATAAATGATTGGTACAGTCTGATGTTTTTGTTATAATTACAATATGCTCTGGTAGAAAGTAACAGAGAAGAACTACTTGTGCCCAGAAAAAGCAAGTGGTAAAATTTTCCTTCATCCTTGCATAAGCCAGTGAAAATTGTCCTTTAATTTGTTCAAACAAACTCTTTGGATATTCACACAGTGACCATAATCTAAATTCACTACAAAATAAACTATATTGAATTATCTTGGATAAATAAAGGCAATGATTGATAGAAAGCACCACCCTGTGGTTAAAAAGCAGATCAAAAGGAAAGCTCCTTTCTAATCAATAGTTTCAACAATTTGTTTTTTTTGTACTTAATAACAGACAATTTTCAGGGATAAACACCATGTGACTAGAAAGCTTGCCTTACTTGAAACTGATTGAAAAGCCCAGATAATATTTTATTCTCAAATACTGCTCTTATGAGTGAAACAATTGAGTTACCTCACTGTTTGGAGAACCTACATCTTTTACTACAGTGGACATGTAGAGAAATATTATTGTTTACCTTACCTGGGAATGGGTAAATGCTAGCATTGTGGTTTATGTGCATTTACATACTAGTTTATAGAATGTACAGATTTCACATGACAAGGGTGTTATTGTATGTGCTTCCCTGCTTTGTAACAGTATTCTCAGGCAGAAAAGTTGAGAAAATTACCAGGTTTTTGGCACTAGTCATTGTTCAATTTGCAATTTGGATTTTCAGCTGATAACAGAATTAAGATCCATTAAAATAGATGGTACATGTTTTATGATTGTGCCAAATTCCTGATTGAATAATGAGTTGGCTGCTTGTAATTCCTCACTGTCATTTCATAGCACTTCCATTTTTGCAATATTTTCAGACTCAAGTTGATTTTGAAATGGGATGTATTTTGGATGAGTAGCTTTTGGAAAGGAGCCTATGTGATTGTTCCCAAATAGCTCAGTGGGCTCTGTATATTTTCACCACTGTTCTTACTGAAGGGAATAAATTGAGCGACCTTATACTGGCAGCGGAAGGATTCTGCTAAGGTCTGATCTGATCTTTGTCCATGTGAGGAATTGCCCTCTTTCAGTACTTCACTACCTTGTGAGGAGCTAGAAAGGAAGATTAATGTGATTCTGTCTCATAAGTGGCAGTCCAGTACAGTCTGCACCTTTACTCAGTAGAAGGGTAAGTGACTTTTAAGACTTTCTTAGAAAGTAGATTTCCTACCGAAGCCTCTCCAAAGGCAGAAAATTGTTTTTTAACCACAAGATCAGTGTCGGGTATAATATTTTGTTACTCTCTTTTATCGTTTGCTTAAAAATGACTTGAAGGAAAACAGTGTTGAAACAAGCTCAAAGCAGTCCTTGAAGTTCGGGGGTTTTTTTCCTCCCCCCAATAAAAAGTAGGCGTTATGCCCTGTGGTACTGAGAGATGAACATTTGTGGCACGAATTAGCATGCGTTCTTCCAAAAACTGTTTTTCTCAGTGTGAGAACTAGGTTTTTAGAATTATAGATTAAAAGGCAGCTTTTTCTCTCACTACTTTTTGAAAAGGGATGGCTCTTTCTACTTACCATCACCTTTATTTTAAACTGTTTTAAATTGACAGGGTGTTTTTTTCCTAATGAGTGTAGACCATGATTTGGGAAGAAATAACATAGGTTATGTTTGACATCTCAGAATGTTATACTTCCAGATTGTTCTGTTTTCAGCTTAATTTATCTTGGAGGGGTTCAAATAAATTGAAAGGAGTTAGGTTTAGCACTTATACTATAAAACAATTAAAACTTGGGAATAATTTGTTACATGTAGAAAATGGAATTGTCATTTTAAATCTTTTTTTAAATTATATTTTTTCTCTCTCTGAAGCAGAGAGAATAACCTAGCCAAATGTTCAGTTAATTGGTTTTACTGTGCAATCCAGCAAAATATATTAAACTTGAAGACAGTTATAAGACATGCTCTTGACCGTGTTCTGAGGAGCTACTCAGAACAAGTAATTACACCCCTGCTAAACTGAAAATGTAAAATTAATGGGGAGACTGTTTGGTATTAACTTTGGCCCTTCTGTCAATATAAGTGGAGAGAAGTATCTACTCTATAATCTGCATTATTTCATTCCTTAAAACCGAGAGATAATTCTCATTAAAAAAAAAGTTCTTGTTCACAATGTAGACTCCTAGTAAAAGTTCTTGTTTAAATGTACAGTATGACATTTCAAATAGGACCAGCTATACCAATAGCCTTAAACATTGTTGATTTCATCTGCGGTATTAATTCTTATCAGTTAGAGAAAGAACTAATTCTGTCTGCATCTTAAATTTTTATATCTAGAAATTTGCATTTAATACAATTCTCTTTCACATACCCTTTTTTTCACATATCCTTTTTTGAATTATTGTATTGTATCTTTTATATGAGATAGTATGGTTTTTAACTTTATATCCAACACAGTATAATGGATTATGTAAATTAAAAAGACATGGTTCTTGTCTTCTAGTAATAACTAAGGATGTTGCCTATTATGCGTTTTTCAGTGTTTAAATTTGTGTATAGCTTTGTACAAGTAGTTTTGTTTTGAAGCATTGGCTTCTGATACAGTATGAGATTAGTGGAGTGTCTCTGAAATAGTCTCCTGGCTAAGAAATTTGGTCTGTTCTGGAATCAGCACAGAAAGTTTTACTACTTGAAGAAACAAATCTTTTCAATTCAAAGATGATTTGAATTGAAATCATCTTTAACCATGGTACCAGAAATGTAGGACTGCCATCTAGTGCTTATATTTTTTAGTTTATCCTGGTGGACTCAGCACAGTGGAAATTCTACACATTTAAAATGTATTAAAAGACACCTTGAGCCCTGGCTGGCATAGCTCAGTGGATTGAGTGCGGGCTGTGAACCAAGGTGTTGCAGGTTTGATTCCCAGTCAGGGTACATGCCAGGGTTGCAGGCCATGGCCCCCAGCAACTGCACATTCCTGTTTCTCTCTCTCTCTCTCTTTTTCCCTCCCTTCCCTCTCTAAAAATAAGTAAATAAATATTTTTTAAAAAGACACCTTGAATAACATGCAAATTCTGGTTTTCTCTGTGAAAAGGAAGAGGTATGACTTGGCTCTATAAAAACAAATTTTGCAGAAATCTTTTGATGTGTTTCTTACAGGAACTACTTGGAGGAGATGGTTAGATTGAGAAATCTGTTGCTTTTAAGTTAGTTCAGAGACTTCTAAGTAAATAAGACTAATCAGAGTGGTGGTTTTATTTTTCAGTTTATATATTTAAGTAAATTTCTGTTTGCACAATAATATCATTAAAGGGATGAAATTGCCAGCTATTTAACTTAGTCTTATACTCATGCTTTGAGGCCAGTGTGGTTTTTTATTTTCTCTTTGCTCAGATAAAACAGTAATACTGACATTTATTAGCCCATAGTGATCCATTTCTCTTACCCATTCAGACTAGTAAGTATTAATACACTTTAGGTACAAGTGAGTATATATTAGAGATTATCTAGTAAGGGCACATTTATTACAGTAGGAAAGAAGTCAGTTATTTCATTAACTACAGTTCAAGTAAGCAATTTTCCTGTGAGTATTTCTTGAATTCTCTGAATATATCTTTAACTCACTGTTGCACATGGTAAAAATATTCCCTCACGTTAGTTCTGATCACTTACCACCAGGGGTCACTTTAACTCAAGGACCCTTTCCCCCCTTTCCTAATCTAATTGAATAGCATGGGAGTGAATTTAGAGCTGAGATTCTCAGAATTTGTGATGTCTCTAACTTTTAAAGGAAATGTTTTGAGGTTTCTTTAACCTACCAAATTAGTTTTCATAGCAAATGAAACATAATCTAATCTTAACTAAAGGTATCATAACCAGGAACGTTGTTTTGTTTTTTAAATTCTAGTAATATATAGTAACATTTAATTATAGTAAAATGGTCTGTTGATAGGAACTCCTATTTAATTAGCTCTGTAGTGACAACTTCTAATTTAAAAATTTAAGAAACCTTTTCTGCTTTGTATTTTTAGAATGTTGTACAATGATTTATAAATTATCAATTACCAGAGGACTAGAAAGCAATCTAGATACTGTGTTTTTTTAAATTTGAGTGCTTTACATCTGAGAATTTATTTGTGATAGTAACTGAAAAACTACATTTACTGATTTTTAAAATATGCAGCAGTATTAAAACATGAGACTTAATAAAATTGTTGTTTGATTTTGATAATTTTCAAGTCAGTGTTGAAAACTAATTTATTAATTATCTAAAGACAAAAAATTCTTTAGCTTCTTACTCTTTTTTGATAGTGTAAGTGTGTAACCTTCTACTGTGCCTCAGTATAAATAGAAACAGTGTATGACTGTCTAGTTCATGTGACTCAGCTATCAATTTAAAAGCACATTCAATGTAACTGAATATTGGTTGCTATATGTAGCAAGTGACCTAAAGCTTTCTTATTTTTTCCTTCTTTTTAATTTGTAAATTTTAAGTATATTGAAACTTTGAGAGAATAGTATGGTAATCACCTGTATATCCATCTTGTGTATTCAACAGTTAACTTTCTGGTCTGTTTTATATGTTTGTGTATGTTTTCTGGACCACTTGAAATTAAGCTGGAGACTCAGTGTGGCACTTGACCTCTAAATACTTACAAAAGAAAAAGTGTTCTTTATAACCACAGTACTGCTATCATGCCTAAGAAAATCAGCAGTGATTTCTTAATGTCATCTAATATTCATTCAATGATCAATTTATTCCAGTTTTCCTTAAGGTGTATTTTGTGGATAGTGTTGTCAAACTAAGGCTGTGTCAAGGCCTGCATATTGTATTTTAGTTGTTTTAGAGGTTGGATTCCCCTAGACGTTTACTATACTAAATGGCATATATTCTTTCCTCCATTTTCTGATGTATATATGCCTGTGTTGGTTGTTTTCATTAATAACACCTGCCATGGATACAGGCGAAGGAGAATCTGAGTGGCAATAGGATATGGAATTTACAAGTTGTTGACAGGAATTTAAAATGTTTTTTTTTAAATAATGACAGAATAGTTCTGAATTCTTTCTCATATTTTGCTGGTGTACTTAAGCCAAGACATATAAATATGTATGTTATATCCTATTTTATGAAGAAAAGAAACTTGGTTTAATCAGTATTCATGTGTTTTGTTAGATATTGATGTGCCCAATTTAATAAAGACATTTCAGGAAAATTGATGCTCCTTTGGTATTTGGAAGCTGGTAATGTTTTTAGAGGCATTAACCCAACTACACTGATCCCTTTATACCAAGATTTGACATTACTCAGGTAGTAGATTTTTTATTTTATTTTATAACAATATACTTTTAATAAGATCAGGAAGTAGCAAAGAAGGTAGTTTTCATGTAATTTTTTATTTCAACTGTGTCTTTATAGCTTTGTGTTTTAAGTGATTTTGCGGGGGGTGGGCAGCTGTGTGGTGTATTTGAAATATTGCTCACTCAGCAGTCAGATGTCTTGGTTGTAGTTCTCTTTACTGTTTAATAGACATCCGACCTCTGGGAAGTCTTTTCATCTCTTTGGTTTTTGTGTCCTTACCTATAAAATTGGGGACTGCTACCCTGACAGGGTTGTTTCTCATATTAAATAAAGACATAAGAAAATAGCTTGGAAATCATAGGATTATCAAGTATAAGATAATGTTATTGTTAAGCTGTATATATGAAATTGCCTAATATTGTTTCTTTAGATTTGGCAGTGACTTTTTTATATAGATTGAATTACCTCACCTTTAGTTTCAAAGTGGAGTAAATAAGTTGTATAGTATTTATAATAAGAAACTAGTCATTTTGCTGGGTGAAATAAAATGTGTATTATGAATTGTTTTAAAAATGAAGTATTCGTCCAGTTAAAAGAAAGTAATAGCAAAAATATTGTTATACACAGTTAAAAGTGTATATTAAGTTTGGTTCTTTTGAGTGGTTCCCATAAGTCTCAACATAGTGTTGGTACAAATTTTATTGATAAATGGTAATACTCAGAAGATAAATATTTTAATTTGAAAGCAACCTCTTGGTAGCAGATTAACCATGTTAAAAATTTGCGTAGAAAATAAAAATCCCATTTAGGGTGCAGCTCATTTTAATTCTATGGAAAAATTGTAACTAACTTAAACCTTGTTAGTGTTGGTATTGTAGTGTTTTACATTACAAATTAATATAAATATCTGCTTTCCTTGTTTTTCTTCTCTTGCAGCTTTTATTGTGTGCCTAAATAAACATGATACTGGTGCAGTTTTAGATGTTTTAGATACATAATCTTATGCTTCAGAGTTTTGTTGCTGTTTTTATACAGATAGCCTTGAAAGATCTTAGAATTCTAGATACTATCTGATAGTTTTTCTATGTACTATGAAAAGAGATAAAAAGAAGAAACAATTCTTAGACTTATCTATGAAGAAAGATGACATTCATGTTTTACCCGTCTAGCTTCTTTACCTTATTAAATTTATATCACATTTTTTTTTCTTTTAAACCAGAGATGTGCTCCTGCATCTATTCGCCTCATGGATAACCAGCAGTTTCAGTTTGGTAAGTAAGAAATGGTGATTTTAATCTGCTTATTAAGCCACATGAATTTATGAAATACATGTTATGTGCCAGGAAGACTACTGAGTGCAGAGCTAGAATGACGAACATCATGGTTCCTATCCTTTGAGAAGCTCTCTGTCTAATGAGGACAGAGAATTCTGTGAATGAATGAATGAATGAATGAATGCAGAGTGTTGGAGGTGCTGTGAAAGAAGATGACGCTGGCTACCCTGGTGTGCAAGTGAGGGCTGGTTGATGGCCTGCCTGATTTTCCTTGGGGGGTGGGGGAGATAAGAAAGGCTTCTTAAAAGACGGTGATTCTTGAGCTAAATCTTAAAAGGTGAATAGAAATTTGCCTGAGATGTTCTCTTCCTCTTTCTACTACCAAGTTTGTTCACTTATCAGAAAAAAAAGGAAGTTGTAAAACCTAAGTGGCACATTTTAGTTTTGTGTGGCGCATAGAGGTTATGGTGAAAGTTGTCACAGGAGTTCAAGCTGGATGGGTGGACTTTGCAGGGTAGATTTGTCAGGCAAGGGGTTTCTTTGTAGAGGGAATAAAACAAATCAACTTTATATTTTAGGAAGCTTATTATGCTAGCATTATGCGGATAGATTAGAATGGTGCCAGCAGGAAGCAGGAGTTGAAATGGTTAAAGAGGCCAATTTGGGGGCCTTGATCAGGGCCCCACTTCAGCAGCAGTGAAGGTGGAGAGTGAGGGATAGATTTATGAAAGGCCTGCTTGCCAACTGGATGTAGAAGGTTAAATAAAGGTAAGAGTTGAGGGCGACTGCCAGATTTGATTTGACCAATTGGATTGGTAGATAACAGTCTAGAAGAGATGATGACTTTGGGGAAAAGACATTACAACAGGTTGCATTTCAGGTGCCATTGGGGTAATCAGATGGAGAATTCAGTAGCAGGAAACTCTTTTTGCTCCCTATTCTGGTTAAAGTGTTAAACTTTCTGACACAATTTTTCATCTTTCAATTCTGTTTTTACTTCTTCTATATATTTTCCATAAATTCTAATTTAGTTGGGATTTAAATTTACAGAATTTAAGTACCCTCAAAACAGTCCATAAGATTATGGGAATGATTGCTCAATAATAAATACAAAGGCTAAGATAGACAGATTTTTGTTCGTTCCATCTGAGTGTAGTTTAGATTTAATTGAAGTTTTCTATGTCCGTTTCTCATTCATTTTTATGTCTCCTGAATCTATTATGTAACATGTTGACTGACTTAATCATTAAATTAGCAAAATAGGTTAAACAAATCTTGGATAGCACATAGCTTAGTGCTAATGTTAGTAAGCACATTATCAGTAGCGCAATTTATCAAGTATCTCCTCACAGCTATTCAAGGTGGTATTCCTAGTTTACAAACTACTCAAAGGTATAAAATTTCAGTCCAAGTTCACAAGTTAGAGCTGTGGTGGAGCTGGATTTAAACCCAGATGTGCCTGATCCACTGTCTCAGATTACTTCTTTGAAACATAGATGCTTGTTAAATCCCTTTAAATTATTTAATTAACACTATAACAACACAAAATCCACTAATCAAACTGTCCAGCTAGTAAACTTGGAAACCAGTTATTTTATTTACTGTAAAAGATAAAACACAATAGCTGGAATATATTTTGAATATAATCAATTTGATAGGTAACATTAATTAGAGAATAAGTGAAAGCTAATATGCCCAATTGATAGTAATACTTGACCTACTTAAAAGTTAGTATCGCTGTTACAATAATATGCTTTAAAGGTATCACATCAACTCAGTATCAGGAGTATATGTGACTACCTCCCACTAGCGTTTACAGAAATTGTACAATGTGTTAAGATGAAGATATGCCCTTAGGATTAATTTACATCAGTCATAACATTTGGAGTCTTCATACCTTATGTAAAGATTATGTGAATCAAGAGACTTTTTAAGGAACATACAATTTCACATTATTGCAAGAACACAACATACACACTCACACATTTATATTTATATGTTTATTTCCAATTGTTAAAGTAGAATGAATACTATTTGTGACAGAGAGTGAATATTTTGATGATATTGTATTTCTGACTTTAATCATGCTAGAAATGGTATGTATTAAAGCACTGGTTATTCTAGAGAAGCATCTCTGACAGGTTACAATAAAAGAAAAATAAACCCCCCAAACAAACCTCTTAAGATCCAGGAGCTCAGGAGCTCAGAAAGATTGCTAGGTTAGTCCTTAGATAATCTGCCCTACGTTTTTGTTGTGGTTTGCTTTGTTCAGTTTCAGCGTGGATACCTAATTCTTAGCCTCTGGTGAAGACTTCATGTTAGTTGTTTTTTTATATAATGCAGTTTCGTATTATAATCAATAGAAATGTAATACATATTCCAGATTCAGACTCTCATTAAAAAAAGGTGAATGGGAAAAAAAAAGACTGCAAGTAATAGTTTCTTCCCAGAATTTTGTTTGTTTTTCAGAAAACTAGTTTGCTATGTATACCTATTTTAAAGAAGGAACCCACACTGTAAACATAAACTGAATCCCCAAACCCTAAAGCCTCTTTTTAATAATAAAATTTTTATTTGAAGATAATTTTAGACCCACTAGGGGCTTTAAAAATTTTTATAAAAATTCTGTGTAAATGGTATGCTTGAATTTTTTGAGTTGGACTTGTATCACTAAGGCCAGATGTGTGACTCTTAAATATAGCAGTCATGAGAGTTAAGAAGTTGCTACTCTGAAAACAATGAGAAAACAGTAAAGACTTTCACTCAATTAAGCTCAATCTGCAGGCAGAGATGTTAATTTAACAGACTCTGAGACCCCATTCATGGTATTTTGGCAATTTTAACTCTCGGGGTGTGATTAAGGAAGCAATTACTAGTTTTATGCCAAGAATTCTAGATGAAATAAGAATTAATTAAGAAACAACCTTAAATGTGGTATTGGCTCCATATTTGGTTATAGTTCTGCATGGTTTCTGCATAATTAAAAAAATAAAAGTAAAACCAGTCACCATTGGGTGGTCTTAATGAAATAAAAATTAATGAAGTGATTTTACTATGCATAAAGTATACCATTGAAAGAAAACCTAAACTATGTGTAGTATTAATTACATACAGTAATTTGAGTTTAAAAAAAAACAAGAAGGGATTTTATAAGCAAAAATCTGTGACTTTTGAAAGAAAATAAAGGTAAAAGATAAAGATCTTAATATCAATATGTCATATGTAATAGATTTTTAAAATTAAGGTTATGAAAACATTCACTTTTCTCTTGATCTTCTGAAAACATATAATTTGTTATTAATTTGAAGTACTAATTTTTTCCTTCTTAGGTCATGCTCTTAAACCTCAGGTTTCCTCTATTTTTACATCATTTTTGGATGGATTAAAAAAGTTTTATATTACAAAGGTAAGAATTTTCTTTTATAAAATGCTAAAATTTTAAGTGATTAGGATATTAATTGATTTTTGTTTCCTGCCTTCTGCCCCTCACAGAGTACCTGTTATAAGTATGTTTTTCCATGTTTCTGCATACATTTCATACTTATTATATTCTGTGTTAAATATTTTATCAAAGTAAATCAATGATGCATTTGATTTCAGAAATTAAATTTTTTTTTCAGGTTTGAAGTACCTAAAAAATAACACTGCATTAAACAGTTTTATGCATGGAACACTTTTTATAGTTTGAATTTTTTCCATTATAGTAGATATCTAGTAGTGAAATAAAAATCAGGGTTTAAAAAAAATAACAATGGATTTGCTAAATTCCTTTCATAAAGGTTTCTACCAGCTTCCACTATCATGGGCAATACACTTGTACCATTTTTCTGTTGCATCCTTGCTGTTGTTGCTTAGTAGGATTTTTGTTTTATGTTCTAAATTTACTGAATCTAGGGGGAATAGTACTTCATTTTAGTGGATGTCTCCTGAAACTCCAGTGAGACTGACCATTTCCCTATATTTGCTAGATACAATTTTTGTGTGAATTAGATGAATAGGGTTATTGCTCCAGGGTGGGAGCCTCATGTTTTTCTTGGTGCTTTGGTGTGTGGAATTATTAGATGCCTTTGTGTATATGTTGTAAATAATTTTTCCAGTCAGTGAATCCCTTTAAATAAAGGTTTTTCTTTTTGTTGCAAAAGTTTTAAATTTTTATATATTTTCCTCTGATTAATTACTTCTAAGCTTAGAAAAGCCTTCCTTCCTCCAGAACTATGAGTAGGACCATTTTATTCTCTCGCGCTATTTTGTTAAGTGGGAATTCAATTTTTTTTTATTACTATTTAAGCTTTTTTGTTTTTATGATGTGAGATAAAGATCTATATATTGTAATCTTTACCTCTTCCTCCCCCAGTTGCTAACCAGTTGTGACCAGTTGAGAACCATTTACTAACCCCTGCCTCTCCTACACTGATTTACCATGTCCACATCTTATATACTTATCCAAGAAATAGACTCCCTTTTAATGTATCAAAATCTTTTTCATGATCTTAATGAGCTTTTTGTTCCTAAAAAAGTAAATGGATTTTATTGCTGTAGGTCTAGTACTTCTTTTTTTTTTTTTTTTAATTTTCCTGCTACCACTGTCACTTACCTGTTTATTATCTTGGAAAAATTTTAGAAACTTAACCATATGAGAAAGTCTGTTGAGATTTTTATTAGAATTAAGATAAACTAGTTTATTAATTTGGCAAGAGTTCGCAGGTTTTATAATACTTAGTTTATGCATTCAGGAACATATGTCTTAAATCTTTTAGACATGTGTTTCCTCATGAACTTAGCTGTTTTAAGATTATTCTTAGGTGTTTTGCATTTTAATTTTATTCATAAAGTCTCCTTTGAAAATGTTATTTAATAAGAGTTATTGTAGTATTTAAGCATGCTATTGGTTTTTACTCCCCCCCATCCTTTATTATTTTCTATCATTTTGGTAGTTTTATTGGATTCTTTCTTATAGTTACAATTCTTACAAGTTATTTGTTGTGTTTACATACCAATATGTCATTATAGTTGACACCGAGGCATACGTTGAAGTGAAGTGTTTTTTTCATAGTTTTATTATATTTTGATGACATGAATAGGTGTACAAAACATTCTTTTGGTTGCCAGTGAAAGTTCCAAAGTTCAATTTTTAAAGAGCTGCTGTGTTTGAGCCCAGATTAGAAGGAAAAAAGGAACAAAATGTATTTTGATTTACTCTTTTATAGAATAAGATTTATCTGTAATAATAATTTTTTTTGTAGTTTAAAGGATTTGATCCAAGTCAGATCAGTGTCGCTACATTACTGTTTGAGGGGGACCGTGAGAAGGTTCTTCAGCATGAAAAACAAGTGTATGACATTGCTGCAAAATTTGGGTATGGCTTTCACTTCAAAATACCAAGAGAAAGTTAAGCTAAAATTCTGATATCTCCAAGCAGTTGTTAATGTTCCCTTTCTAGTATTAAATTTGTGGTAGTATAACTTAACATGTTGTGTTGGTTTATTTAAAAAATTTGTAGGAAGTTAGATTGCTGTGTTGCTCTTATTTGTGTGTACTTAATTAATATATGATTTCTTAATATAACTGTATATAATCATTTACATGATTATATTAAATACTGTATTTTTCCATTAATGCTAATTCTATAACATTTGCTATTTATTGCGCTAGAGTGAAATAGGAAAAAAGTTTATAGTCATATTATAATTTAGTGGTAGAAATATATACAGGGTCTGACACAAAACACGCTCCTTGTTTATTACAAAATCGTAAGTGTGTAATTGTTAATAACAATATCACACAATGGCACACCATATGACATTTTAAGTGAAATGTTCAAATTAAAACTAAATTGTTATACCTATATTATTACCCTACCAACTACACTCAACCAGGCATTACTTCTGCCAGACCCTGTATATAAAAATGCTGTAATTATGTTTTTGAAAGGAAATTGTGTTTAATCAAAAGTATTTGATAAATTACCTGTGCTCTACCCCCTGTCACTTACTGTTTTATGCTAGTATAAAGAAGCAGAAAACATTTCATGTCTATAACCAACTGAATAATGATTGGGTGGTTTCTTTTTGTCTGCTTGATGGATTATAAGATTGATCTATGGGAACTATAGTGAAAATGCCATTTATCAGGACTCCATTTATTTTCCTTTTTTAAATATATAAACTAACAGTTTTCTGGTTACCTGTCTTTTTTTTCTCCTCTAGAACTTAAAATATATCACATACATTATACTTAATTTGAATTCTTTGTGAATATTTTTATTCTTGGTGAATTTTAATTTTTAGGTATTTGGCAGAACCATTCTGTCAATTTTATTTAATTTGACCCATCAACTGTCGTGAACTGTCTGTTAATGTCATGCCAGTTTTGTTTTTCTCCTTGAACACCAGCTACTTACAACTTAAAAGTAAGAATGAATCATCCTTAAGATAAATCCAGGTCTCTTAGATACTGATACTGAGACCCCAGAACTGTTGATTAAATTCTAGCAGTTTGCTTATACTAAAAAAACCTTGTATCAAATTCAGCCATTAAAAATACATTATGGTAAATGAGATATCTTTTCAAAGCAAAGGTGAAGCATTAAAAACTTAGATCTTCATTGAGGTCTCAGTTTTTGCTATTATTATTTGCTACTTCTTAGTTATATTATAACTTAGTTTCTTAGTAGACTTTCATCCTGTCTCCCCTCATTTAGATGCAGAAATCTTTTGTGTTGAACAGTCTGGGCTCTCATTAGGCACACGACGTAGGGGTCTTTTGATTTGTTTCATACTTGAAAATATCTTCGTGTGCTTTTCTAGGAGAAATCTTGTTTTGCTCCCAGTTCTCTATAGGCACTAGTGCTTTGTTCTAATAACTGGAAGATTCAGAGGTGTTTTTCTAATTAAACATGCCACTCTGCTAACCCTTGTTCCTCAGTCACTTCTCCTTCTGCATAAGTACATGGAAGAAAGCACCACTAAATTTCATTCTGCTAAATTTTTCATTAAGTTAGTTTAGCTAATGTATTTTATTTTGAATCAGGCCATCGTTAATCTGTTCTTCATTTTCTGTTCTTTTTTAAACCCTGTTTCTACCACTTCATTACCTTCAAATTGATTGTTTTTAATGTAGTATTCCCAACAGTTGAGAACATTTTTATCTTAGCCATTTTTCCTCCTTGCCTTCCACCTCCACCCAAACACTGTTCAATACCTTTGAACACATACAGTCCAACAGAACATAATAGCCAAATGTTGAATGATCATACGTTTTGTTTATCTGTGTTGGCTAGTATTGTACTTTAACTTCTAAGAGCTAAGCAGAATAAACATTACCTGTCAGCTATCATGACAAATGTATTGATGTTTACCGTAGAATTTGGGGTAATATGTTATCGTTATTCTTAAAGCGTGTGCTTAAGTTGTTTAGTGTAATTCAACATGAGAGTGATTAGGTTCACCAGATGGCTCTTTTATGTAAAAAAATTGTCTCATTCCTCCTTCATTAGTCTTCCCAGTCCTTCCCCATGAAATCACTTTAAATTTGTTTAAGAACCTTGTTAATTGATGTTTGAAATTTGTGGTGGGGAGCAGGAAGTAGGGGATGGATGTTGCTACTTTTAACATAAAGCAGTTTGAATCTTCCTTTTTTTTTTTTTGAGTGGCTGCAAAAATGGCAAGTTAGAAGCATTTAATTTTGAAGTCTCTATTATTACTTATATATTGTATCTTAAGGTAATTTTGGCTAGAAGATATTCTGAAAGCTAAAAAAAAGAGAGAAGTTCCAAAAGGCTAAATTTGCCCAGAAATGTGTGATTCAGAAAAGCAAACCCCGAATGACTTTTCTTCTCCATTGGTGTTTATGAATTTAGAATGAACATCAGATTCCTTCTTCAAATAAGAAAATATATGTTTCTGTGTGGTTTGTCACACCGATTTCCAAAGTGGAACTGAGCTTGCCCCACCCTGTCCTGCTAGATATTAGAATTGGGTCTGAAGAAAAACAGGTAAATCTGGGACTGCAAAGTAGGACTTTTTCTCATCCTGTATAAGAGAGACAGTCCTCCTTAGTGTTACATCTCACCAAATGCATACTTAGAATGTACCTTCTCAAAGATTTCCAGGGCAGGTCTTCTGCACCTTTTTTTAGTCTTCCCTCTCTTTTCCTTTGTTTTGCTTCTGCTACCAGGCCACGATGAACAGTTTCGGTTTCCTAGATCTGTAGTGTTCTTTCCTCTCAGACTCAGTGTCTGACCCTGTTTCATACCTAATGGAGCTATGGGCTCAGCTGTGTTCCTCTGCTCACTTACACAGCAATTTTCTGACTAGTTTTGGTTTTGTTTTGGAGTTTTATTTGACTGCCTACCCCAACCTCACATACAAACACATCCAACCCAGAATTCTCTTCTCTTTCTTACTTTTCACTCTTAGCTATCTCACCTGAGTTCTGTCTTCCTCTCTCATTAGCATTTTGGTAGTACAAACAGCCCCCTTCATTTTATTATACTCTGTCCCTGAGTAGTTCTAGACTACAGCTGCTTTTATCAACCTTTGCCACTCCTCTGGGTGACACTTATTTGAGTATGTCCAGCCAGAACACGAAGTCAGGAAATCTGATTTAGCCCATTTATCCTAGCCTAAAAATGCCTTACATTATTTGCATAGACCAAGGATACATCTATATTGTATTATTTACTTACCACAAAATCCAAGCCAAACTTCAGGGAAAAAAAGGATTTAACTCTAAGTAGTTCCTTGAAGCCATAAAGAGAAATGCTTCCAGAAGAGGCTCAAGTCACACAATCTCAAGACCTGAGTCTTGCGCAAACACCATTGTTAAGCGCTTGGCATCCTGAGAACAAGGAGGTACAGGCTGGATATTCAGAAGAGAGACATAACAGTTGATTATTAACCAGGATCCAAGAAAGTCACAAGGAAAGATATTTTTCTTTTTACATGGTTTTGTTGAGGAATTTTTAATGGGTGCTTTGAGAGTTTGGGATAAGTTTTATTTAGTTGATTAAGAATAGTTAAAATTTGGGGTAGCTCAGTGGATTGAATACCAGCTTGTGAACCGAAAGGTCGGCAGTTCCATTCCCAGTTGGGGCACATGCCTGAGTTGCAGGCCAGGTTGCAGGCCATCCGGGGGGATGGGGGCATGTGAGAGGCAACCACACACTGATGTCTCTCTCCCTCTCTTTCTTCCTCCCTTCTCTTCTCTCTAAAAATAAGATAAAATCTTTAAAAAATTTTTTAAAAAGCATAGTTAAAATTTAATTTTTATCTCTGATGGAAAGAAGCAAAAATAAAAAGGTATAATGAATGTATGGAAATCTATAATCATTCATAATCTTTTAAAATAAGGCTGACTTTCACAAAGTAGAACATTTAGACTGAATTATATGTTATATGGATTAATTCTAACTAGATCACCAAATGCAATTTCTATGGACAAAACTTTCAAATTAAAAGGGACAGTTCATGTGTTCATAAGTAATAAGATCTTACCTGTTGGACTTATACTTGTCTACATATTGTTTCAAAAACTTTAATATTTCCAGGTGTGTGTTGTCTCCTTTAACTCATAAGGTCAATGAAATAATACTTCAAATATTGTACAATGTGCTCAAGTATTCAAGAAATATCTTGGTATTTGGAAGATCCTAGTCATTTGTTGCACATCTTTACATATGAATAAGATTATAATAATATATGAATATGTGAATAAGAGTATAATAATAAAATAAGAAATTAAGAGTGTTTTAATAAGAGTATTTTAAGTATCATTTTGTGCTTGTGAGGATTATTTACATTTGTTTCTTACGTCTCATATTCTTTGATAATGTGGGTAGAAGTAGTTGGGTTCATGAGCCAGTTTTATTAGTGTGATCAATAAAAGTTTGAAGTTAATGACCAAGCTGAAATATTAAAAGCGCTTTCAGATTTTTGTTATTCAAGCTTATTCCTTTGATGGCTCTGTGATATATTTATGATAAATGAGAGTAAAATAAAAATGAGATACAGTATAATATATGTTAATCTGTTCAGCATTTATCTTAAGGTGTCATACTAGTTCGGTTTTTTAAATATTGTTAATAGTTCATTGGAAACTTATTAGCACTTCTTTAATTACAGTGGATTGGCAGCTGGAGAAGATAATGGACAAAGAGGTTATTTGCTGACCTATGTCATTGCATACATTCGAGTAAGTTATCTCATATTTTTCCTTGTCAATTTATGTTGCAAACAATACTTTCCTTATGTTGAGTAAACAAAATTATTTTCTTAAATTTTAACCAACTGTAATTGAGCATGTCATTTTATAGTAATAAAGGGTTAGCTACAAATCCACCCCAAGTTCTCCCACGGTAAGCATTTTACTGTAACCTTAGGTGAGGTCGAAAGTTTAGATCGCAATGGTCTGAAGAAGCATGTAGGTCTCCCTGCTGCCCCCACCCCCCATGCTGATAAGGAAGAGTACAGTTATGCTTGTGTGCTGTGTGAGAAGGTGTGATGAACAGATTTATGGATCATGAAAGGTAATAGATGATTTTAGGTCTTATAAATAATTTTTAACTATTAATTAAACCTTACATGTATGCTTTTGAGGAATTTAAAGGTTTTAATAGGTCTTTCTGTTCTTGAGAAGAATGGAGACTTTCTCTGTCTGAAAGTTGAGTGTGCTGTTCCTAACATTGGTTAGAATCAAGATGTTTTATTTAGCACCATTCCTCACTCGACCCATATTCTGTTTTAAGGTTATGTAAATCTGTCTCCAACTGTCTTTGAAAGTTGATTTTTAACTTAGTTCCGAGTAGTTACTGATTCACTGGCAGTGAGTACTATATACAATTAAAGAAATAATTTGTGTATATTTGAGTTCTAAAATTTTTCTAATTCTAAATTTTCTGTTTGTGAGAAACTTTTATTAGCTATATTAACCTCATGAGTCTTTTGTACTTACTGATATGAAAGTTTGTTTACTCATTTTTTCATGTATTTTGTTTTATTTTTCTAGTTTAGCTACAGCAAACTTGAGTTTTCAGATTTTCTGCTGTTGCTAAGATTACTTTTAAAAAAATACTGCTTGTTATATAATTTAAAGGGTCTTGTTTTAAAAGGTCATTTCTCAGCTATCCTGTTGAGAATTTGGCTTCCCTAAAACTGAGAGTTCTAATTTCTCACTTGGAAATTATTCTGAAGGAAATATTCATACAAACTTTTTTTTACTTTTCTAAGAAAGATTGACTTTTGTTTTCATTTTAACAATCAATAATTTAACCCTAAGTAAGATCTAAATTTCAGATAGCAGTGAATTTGAAGCATGTAGGTCGTCTTACAGTTTTCTCCCGCTGCCCACCTCCCTGCCACCATTCTGAGAATGGCGCATTCTTGCCTGTGTGCTGTGTGAGAGGTTGTGATGAGCAGGTTTGCAGATAATGAGAGGAAGTAGATGACTTTAGGTCTCATAACTTTTATCTCCATAGACTGTCTGTACCTCAAGTTCTTCCATCAGCATTATGGGTATACATAAATTTTGTTTGTTAGGCATTTTCTCTGAGAATATTGACCATTTTCTCATGGTACTAAATTTATAATGCTAGAAAATGAAATGTAACTGTAACAGGTACAGCATAGACACAGTTTGAAGTAAATTTCTTAATTAAGATTCCAGTTAATGTTAAAACTTAATCAGAAGCAAGTTAGAGATTTTTGTGGGGGGAGGGAATAGAGATTTTTTTTTTATTTTCCCAGTACTTAATACTGTTGTCATTAAATATATGTTTACTAAATAAGTGAATGCATAAGAGAAAATTTTAGACCAGTAATTTCAGGAATTTTTTGCTACTGTCAACCAGTGGTAGAGTTGAAGAAGTTCATTTTATTAGAAGTGAAAACTTAACATGTATTGAGTTTTCTACCTTATAAAATTTTCTGTCATATCTTTATACTTCTGTAGTGGTTTGTGAATTTCTATTTTCAGTTTTGAAATTACAGAATTGTACGTTGAATAAAGAAATTAGTATTATAAGTTATTTATCATACAAACATTATATCTTCTGGTGTAAGATACGTATATGCATATATTCCTAGCAGAGGTGCTTCCAAATGTTCTTTCTATTCAGTCAGTACAGAGAATGGAACTATATTTTCTAGTTTGTTTTTAAAGAAAAATTACTTTTTTAAAAAATATTTTATTTATTTTTTAGACAGAGGGGAAGAGAGGGAGAAAGAGAGGAAGAGAATCATCTATGTGTGGTTGCCTCTTGCTTGGTCCCTACTGGGGACCTGGCCCACAACCCACGCATGTGCCCTGACTGGGAAGCAAACTGGTGACTCTTTGGTTCTCAGGTCGGCACTCAATCCACTGAGCCACACCAGCCAGGAAAAAAGTTACTTTTAAGAAAGGGAGATAGCTTTTCCTTCCTCTAATCTCTCCCCCATGCCCCCACTTTCCTGCTTCCCTGCTTCCCTGCTTCTTTGATCCTAATGGCCACTTGTTGGTATTGGTTCATGTACTGATTAGGCCACCAAACATCTGTTATGCTAATATTCTCTACATATGCATAGATAGTTCCTGGATAGAAACTCCATTCATTGGAGAAATATTTGAGTTCCTATTATATTTCAGGACTTAGCCTGGTGCCACAGGTACAGAGGAGAATAAGACAGACCAAATTCCTGTCTTCCTGGAGGTTGTACCTCACTCTTACGGCCACTTTCCAGGGCTCTTATGAGGTGGATAGTAAAGAGGTAAAGAGCCATGGAGATTAAGGTAGAAACATGTAATCCCAACAATTACATGTACTACTGATGGTGAACAACATAAAATACAAATAATATTATTGATTCTTCTGCATCTGTTATAATTTCTTGATTTTTGTATATGTGTCTTAACAGGACTTCGGTTTAGAATACTATATATTAGGAGAATCTTTTGAGACTTCCGCTCCTTGGGACAGGTAAAATGAAATAAAATGCTGGGAAGAGAGGGGAATTGGGGGGAGGGAATGGGAGACAACTGTAATAGAGTAAACAATTAAAAAAAACACACACAACCTGTTAAGAAAAATCAGCAAATAATCTATTTGATATAAAATCCAGATAATTTTGATCCATATTAAACATGGTAATAAAATTCTTACAAAAGTTATTTAAGTAAATGAATGGCAGATATTTTTTAAAAATGCCTGCTATTAAAATATGCCATACAAGTTGTTCAAGTAATGTGTCTTTGTGTGTGAATATGTAAACTTAAAATTTTATAAAGAAACATTGAAATATCATAATCACCTTTATTTAAATTAATATCTCCATCAGATTATCACATTTGCAAGCTATTTTTTGTTTGTGGAAAATTTGTTTGTGTGCCATAGAAGGAAGCTGCTATTGAAGTTTATATTTTAAAGAATCTTATTCTTTAAGATTCTTTAATGTCACTATGTGGTTTTACTTAGCTTTGATTTAAATTCTTAAGTGATTAATAGGCTTAAATGTTCTCTAAAGAGTGCCCCCAAATTATGAAGTTAGTTAAATTTTTTGTGATGTATTATTTAGCTTTTGATATTTGTATTTACATGCTATTCAGCAAGATCTTACTTAACTTGCATTTAAATGATTTCTCAAAGATACAGAATTTAAAGAAATTATATACTGTTTTTTAGATTGTATACACACAGATTGGTTGGGAATTAATAAAAACTGATTAGGAAGTGGAAAATAGTTTTATTAAAAGTGGACTTGTGAGTTTACTTATTTAGTAGTAAAAAATTCTTAAGGAGATTGTTAGTACATTTTATTCTAACATGCCTTACATTTTACTTAAAAAATAAAATTAACCAATCATTTTAAATCTAAAATAAAGTAGAATAGAACAAATCCTCATGAATCTTAGATATTACACAGCCTAACATTTTTGTTCTACTGTAACCTCTCTTTACTCCTTCCCAGAAAGCCTTTATTTTCCTTCATTCAGTCTTCACCTGCCATGGTCATGACCTTGGGTGCATTGACACTCAGTCTGTGCATTGCGAGATAACCAGACTTCGTGGTATGGATCTGTTATTTACAGCTTTTGTTGCTGAATTTAATTTAATTTAACTATAAGGGGAATAAATCTTGTAAATAAAAAGAATTAACCAACTCATTGACATCTGACACTTTTGAACAACAGAGTTTGGCAGTTGTTCATTTTGTTTTTATTCTTCCAAATGTGGAAGCTAATCATGCACTATCTTTTTAGTTTTCTTTATTCTTTCTTTGTATATACTTACACATTTACTTACAACTGACTCACTGGAAATATCCCTTTTATACAGAATACATATTTGGTTTGTTTTCATTTAAAACAACTTCAGTTTTAATAAATAAGGTTAAGGGAAAACAGCTGCATTCATGACATGAAACTTTATTGCCCTTTTAGCAATGTTTTTTCTTTCCCACTGTTAGTTGGATAGAGTCGGTGTTTAGAAGGACAACCCATGGGATCAGGGTCTTCAACTCTCACTCATTATTAGGTTGCTTGACCTTTTCAGACATAATTCTCTTAAGGGATTATTCCTCTTGCTAGTTTTGCATATTCCTCAGCGGGCCCTAGCAGGACGACTGCATAGTGTTCTGTGGAGGTACTCTGGAATAGTGTAAGAATTCAGCCTATAAAAATAGCAATCTAAGAGGTCCAAGTGAGGATTTAAAGATTTTGGATACACCAGCATGAGACTGGGATTAAAACCAAGGGAGCAGATAAATAGTTTGGATGAAGGGCACAAAAGGCCTAAGAAAGAAGTCCCGGGAACCTCAACATTTAAGAATAGTCATACAAACAAGAGCAAAGGAGACGGAGAAATAATATCTGGAGAATTTGGAGGAAAACCAGCAATGTGAGAGAAGCCCAGGGAAACTTTTCTCAAGAAGGAAATGGTCAGTAGTGTTAAATTTGCTAATAGATGAGGTAAGAATTTAAAAGTGTACACAGTTACATTTATCTCCCAGGTGATTGGCTCCAGTGGATTGCTTTGCACAAGTTTTGTGAGAGAATACTTTCAGAACTCCTTTCCTACAAATCATTTCTAGAAAGTACCCCATTAAGGGTTATAACCATTCAGTTTTGTCCTTTGTCCCATCTCCTTCTGCTCCTGATTATTATTTTTGATGAGATGATTATGATGATCAAGAAGAAGCAGCAGCACTTAAACTCCATTTTTGGGAGACATGATAAAGAACTTGTAACTTTCATAAATTTGTAATATTTATTAACCCTTGTTGATATTAAAGCTTAGTACATTTTATTTATAGTTAAAGTATTTGTTTTATAAGTTGGATTTTCAAAATAAAAGCACATTGAATTTTAATAATCCATATGCTTTACCAGAGATTTTTTTAAAAACAAGGTATTCTTACCATTCCATAAACAAGGCATAGGTAACATTGATAAATCATGTTTATCACTCATGTTTATCACGTTTGCCTGCAGCTCTCGTAGAATAAAGCAGAATTTAACTTAAGAACACTGTTTAAGTTCTGTATTTATAAGAATAAAATTTGGCATGTTAATAAAACACGAAAATCTTTTTCACATACTTTAATCATATATTTTTTGTTCTTACGCAAATACAAATAACTTCATTTTATAAAGGATAATCCATGTAATGCTATTTTTATTACATCAGTTCCCACAGTCACATTGATCTTGAGACTAGAGGCAGGTCAGCCTTTTGGGTTTCTTTGGTATCTTCTGTTCCAGTGTCAGTGCGTAGCCAGGATGCTTACTGTAGAACTAATGGCTTTTATAGACCTTAAGAGTTTTTATTTTCCACATGAAGTAAAATCCGTAGTTTTAACAGTATGTTACAGTTCACATTAAAACATAGATTAATATTGTTAAATATTACCAGTCTCCTCTCATCTGTTTTCATTGACTTGATCTTAAACAGTCTAGCATAGCTGTACACAGAGTTACATGTCCAGTAAGTCTTTGTTGAACTGGACTTTAGCTCAGTGTTTACAAATCGGCTGTGGAGCATGTGGTATAACATCATGATTATCACTAATTCAGTTATTTTTAAATTAAGGAAAACTTTTTAAAAGGTTTTACTTATTTTTAGAGAGAGGGAAAGGGAGAGAGAAGGAGAAAAATATGGTTGTGAGAGAGAAACATCGATTGGTTGCCTCCCGTGGGCACCCCAACTGGGGACCAAACCCACAACCGAGGCATCTGCCCTGACTGGGAATCGAACAGGCTACCCTTTGGTCTGTAGGATGATGCCCAACCAACTGAATCACGCTGGTCAGGGCTTAAGGAAAACGTTTTAGACATGGATATAAGACTGGTGTTTCTGTAATCCAGAATTGAATTTTTATTGTGTTCTTTATAGCTTTTAAAATCTTGCAGTTAAATTTATTTTGAAATTGTGTTTTTCTAAGTGTAGGAAACTGCCTTCAGGACACTTGAGTATGCTGTTCTGTCTTTCCTATGGCTAAGAAAGAAAGGACTTTGCTCCCTTGAAAGTTATGAATAGAAGGCTCAATTTGAATGATAAAGGCTTTTCATTTTTGAAGAAAGAAGTATGAAAGTTTTAGTTAGGAGCATTTCTGACTTGAAGGATGCCAGATAAAGCAGCATATGTTAAAATTTTTGTAACATTTGAAAATTTAATGTATTCAATTATGTTTTCTAGGGTTGTAGATCTCTGTAGAAATGTAAAAGAAAGAATAATAAGGGAATGCAAAGAGAAGGGTGTTCAGTTTGCTCCTCTTTCTACATGCAGGTGAGTTTTCTCTTCTTATACTTCTTATTCTAAAAAAAAACAAAAAACCCTATTTTTAATTAATGGAGAAGTGTAATTGGCCAGCTAAAGCGAAGCTTCATTCTATGTCACTTAGCAAGCTTTCCTAAACTTCACTTGCCACCTCGTTAGGATGGTGCCACTAGCATTTAGAGCAGTCCCGAGCCCTTTACGAGTAGAACGCCCCTTCTGTGAATGAGCCTTACAAGCTCTCTGGACAGCATGGCCGTGAAGACCCAAACGTCCAAGCTCCTGGAGTAAGAGAAGACCTTCTTCACTGAAACTAAATTACATACGTAGTCAGGGAACTATAAGTTACATGTATAGTCAACCTAGCTCACTCTTCAGTAGAGAATAACCACTTTAATCAGTTTATCAGTTGATAAATGAATGGGTATGGAATAAAGGAATGCATGGAGTGAAAGATCCAAATGAAGATTAACTCATTGCTTTCTGACAGATATTTCTGCCACACTGGGAATGTTCTGTATCTGCCCTGTCCAATATGGTTGCCGCAAGGCACATGTGGCTCTTGAGCTGTTGAAATGTGGCTAGCGTAATCAGAACTGGATTTTAAATTTTATTTAATTTCAAGTAATTTAAATTTAAGATGTGACTAGTGTGCCCCATATTTGATCGTGTTCAACTGAAGGTCTTGTTCTCTTTGTTAAATAGCAACAGCCCAGATGGAGGTTTTCTTGAGAAGTACTTTGTTTTAAAGCTTTTGATACTAATTTTCTGGGTAAACACCTGAAGATTAAATGTATTAAGATTGGAATAAGCATATGTATCCTCCAAAGGTTATTCAATTAATTGGAATGGAGAATAAATGGAAGTTAGGACAGATCACGAGCAGGGGAACTTGAAAGTAAATGATACAATAGTAATGTAGCATTTGAAAATTTATTGAACATTCTGTATTACATAACTGCCTCTCTTTTTTATTTTGTGTGTTTGATTTATAACTCCAATATTTATTATATAAACAAATAAACACCAATATAAGCATGACTAAAAGGTAATTTTCAAAATAATATATTATCTTTATTATTAAGTACACCTGATGCTGGACTGTGAAACAACCGTTATGCTTTAGCATAACAGCATTTGTCTGTATTTCTGTCCATGATCCTGACTCTTCTGAGGTGCCTGGAATCACTTAATCTCAGCCTGGGAAGGCAGACCTGGGCTTGTTCCCGCCAAAGGGCCTGTCCTTAGCCCTTGGTGCCTCAGCCCTGCCTACCAGTTACACCATCATGGCAATTTCCTGCTCAGTTTTAATTTCTTTGTTTTGTAACATTACACATGTCTGAACAGGAAAAGAAAGCACTGTTCTAGTGTTTATTAATAATTTAATCTGAGCTCTAAATTATCACTAGTAAAAGTAGTGGTAATAGCATCTGCTTGATGGGACTGTTTAAGGATGAAATGAGAAAGGTTATGAAGAGCTGTATAAATGCCATTGCATCATCATGATGTAATTACATTAAGGTTAAGGTTATAATTCATACTAGTATTAGTAAGAAAAATTTGGATATTTTGCTTTTCTTCTCAAAGAAAAATCCTCATGGAAACATCCAGTTGTTAAGCCCTCTTGATATTTTGACATAGCATGATAATTTGCATATATTTGCTTTGTAAGACTAGCAATATACTCTTTAAACTGCTATCTCTGTAATTTTTTCTTCTTTTCTCTTTTACATCCTCTCATCTTGTACTTCCCTACTGCTATGTTGTGTTTCTTTGTTCTTATTGCTCCCATGGAGACATATCTTTTAGAATTTGATAAATTATGCATCTGCTGGGTAAGAAAGTACAATCCTACCATGAGATATGAGGAAAACACCTTCCTTACATTAACTGTTCATGTAACTCAGAATCTCATTGAAATAGTCTTTTGAGCCTGGTGAGAAAGACAGGGTTTAAAGAGCATTTCAGGAAGTAGCAAGTCAAGTCTGTGTATTTGCATGTAGAACATATGTATTCGGGGTAGAATCGAAGAGGTAAGAGCTAAAAATGTGGAGTTAGCGCTCACTGGTTGGACATGTGCTATGTCTGAAGGAAGAGAAAAGAGGGAGCCTGGTTAGTGAACTGATCTGATAGAGAGCCTTTCTAAATGAAGGCATAAGAATGCACTTTTAAAAAAAAATTGGAAGCAGTTTTAAAAACGAAACTTACTGTAAAGTCCTTAAAGTCTAAGAAAAAAGTTTTGTGTTTATTTATGTTACCAACCGAAATTGATAAAATAAGTTCTCACTTAATGATATTGACCAGTTCTGTGACTTTAAGCAAAATGATGCATAATGAAACCAATTCTACTATAGGCTAATCAAAATAAACAAGAGTTAAGTTCCTGTTGCATCTCATCAGGCATCTCATCAACATAACAACATTGAATGAAGTGATGTTATTTGAGGACCTGTTGTACTTAATTCTTCTCTTATTATATAATACTGAAAACAAATCAGGCCTAATAATCCAAAAGTCATTTGTTACAGTAAAATTTGAAACACTTAAAATAATAGAATCTATTCTTGTGTAGTTGAGAAGTTTTTATTCTTTTGTTTTTAGTGGCAACTTAACAGATTTTATCTCCCCTTCCTCCTTCTGCCCTACCTCGCTGTTCAACAAGTCTTGAGACTTCTCCCCTTCTATTTTGAAAATATCATTGTTATAAGCCACTACTTACTGAAAGTGTTTGAGAAGTAAAATATTCTCTTCTGTAAGAACACTTAAGTCTTGGTTTTTCAGAAGGTACTCACAAGACTGAAGGATCTTTGTTATGTAGGTAGCTAAAATTGGTATGCTTAGATTGAATTGGCCACATGTCATTAATTAAGTAGCTGTTTTTATAGGAATAATTTTCTGATAGAAGCTTAAATGCTTAGCTACTGTGATCATTTTATAAAACCAAAGATTAGAAGGTGCACAAAGTCTAGTTACTTGAATAGTTTTGATTAATAGAAATTTTAAATGTAGTTTTTATATCACATACTTTATTGAACTAACATTTAACAAGAATATGATTTTAGTTGAGTTTGACTTAAGCTGTTTAATAATGGACAAGGGAATTATTCTGTGTTGAATGTAAATATGAGATGTATTTTTGAAACTAGTTTTTTAAAAGGTATTTCAAAATTAATTTAAAATAATCGTAGATATTGTTGAAATTAAAGATTCCAAGGAAAATAATTTAGCTGTAGGTTGCATTTATTAAGTTTGTTTATTTCATTTCTGTTTGTTAGAAGGTACTTTGTCTATTGGAATAGAAATTCCAACCCTGAATTTTTATGGAAAGGAATTCCTAGCCAGTGAATCTGAAACAAGTAAAATACTCCAAAAAGAGCAGAGCACAAACACTTTTTAAAAATTATAGAATAGTAGACTGGCAGCCACACTCTCTGTTGTCAGGGTGATTTTGGAAGCTTAGTGTTTAACTGTCTTAAATGATAGAAGTGATCTATTAAAAGGTGTTAGATCTGAGTCACTTTCTGAAGTGGACCCAAATTGAAGTTTTCCAAAAGGTGTTTTCATTATTTCTACTTTTGCTTTGAGATACTGATCAGTCAAGCCCTATTTTGACTTTAGAAACCTCCTTATCTACTGAAAACTGAACTGCATTTAATATTGATTCTGGATTTGTGGGAAGGTGGCCATAGTCTATTAGTATTTAGTTACATTACATTTATTGTTATTAACTATTCTTATGAGTAATGTATACTTTAGTAATTGCTATAAACTCCTTTTATTCCTGTATCCTTTAAGTTTATTTAAATTTATTATTTGTAATGATAATGCCATCAGTTAAAATTGTTCTAGTTTTTCTTAAACTTTGTAAATCTGGAACTTAAAATGTACACATTCACAGGATCTGTTTTTATGACTGTGAATTAACACTAGAAGAAAAACACAGCTGGCAAATTGACAGTAGCATTATTAAACAGTTCATTTCTTCTGTTCTGAGGCAGCTAACATTTGGCCTGAAAGGCCATTAAAATTTTAGATTAGAGTCTATTTGTATTGTGTAGTAAAAAGAGTATTTCCTCTGTATTTGCTCCTTCTGTTAAGGTCTTTCTGGGGACTTCTATAAACTGCATTTGGGGATTCGACTATGATTACCTTAGCTCCCTTTCAAGTGCTTCGCCTAGTTGCATTTTGAAAGCATCTCTCTCTCTCTCTCTCTCTCTATATATATATATATATATAAAATATATAAATTTATAAATATATATTTATATATTCCAGTTTCGCATATTTATAAAATATATATTTATACTTTATAGATATAAGTCTATGTTTATATTAATATATATTAAAATACATATATTAAATATATTGATATATTTTTTAACAGTCTGGCATTCCAGGTATTTTTGTAAGCACCATATAACATGCACACATATGGAGCCCAGAGATACTAGTCTAAGGCCATGTCAATGCATTTGATAGGATCATTTAGTTTGTTTTCAAATTCCTACTAATTATTAATGTGAAGATGTATTTTACCTAGTCTGATCATTTTTGGTATCTGTACATTTCTTTTGTTTCCTAGTTTTAAGGTCTTGTATTTATTTCTGTTAACTTAGAGGAAGTTTAGAAGACTTAGAGTGGATCACCAAGCTTCATCTAGTTTGTTTTGGGCTGTTTTTAGCTACAACATGCTTCAAAAAAAAAATCCCTTCTGAAGAGGCAGGTTTTGTTTATTTCAGGCCAATTAGAGAAACGTTTACATTGTTTTTAAATTTTTTAATTTTGGGGTAATAATGCAGACTTACCAAAAAAAGTTTTAAAAATAGTACAAATAGTTTCTGTATATTCTTCAGATAGCCAGTCTGCATTCGTTTCATGGAGTAGAAGGCTGGGTAGAGAATGAGATTATGGCTTAAGCAAATCATTCAGATGATTTTGCCTTTAAGTTTCTAGACCTTAAATCTAATTTCACTTAACGCCTTGTGGGAATTTTGTCTGTCTGTTTTTTAGGGTGACTCAGACTTACGACGCTGGTGCATGTATCTATTTCTACTTTGCCTTTAACTACAGGGGAATAAGTGACCCACTGACTGTGTTTGAACAGACCGAGGTAATTTTGCATACTGAATATAGCTCTTATATTCTTTTATTAATTTTGATAAATGTTACCATCAATTTGTGAATTTTAGTTTGACTCTCTTCTGTCACTTACAACTTTACCTGGTTGATGATACCGCATAGAAATGAGAAGCATGTTTGTTGCACTGGGTTGTATACTGAATTGTGAGTCTAAAATTAATATTCTCTACATATATTAGAACTAATGTTCTAAAATTAATATTCTGTAGCTTGTGTTTTTTTGGTTGTTACTTACAGTACATAATACTGAATGACGTGAAATGACAAAGGACTCTGGGAATGCTTGATATCACTTGGGCAGCCCCTCACCTCCAGAGGGTGGCTACTGTTGAGGTCAGCAACCCTGATGCTCTAGGTCTGTGTTGCTGTAACATCCTTGTTCTAGGTTTATAATTTATTTGTTTGCTAAAGCTATATGTAGGCCATTGAGGTTCATTTGCTAGTGGTTTTATTATACTTCTTAAATGTCCTTACGCTTGTAAATGTTATAAAGCCTCCTGTTAGATGATCAGATATTTCTTGTTACATGTCTAGAGTTGAAGTACAGACCAGACTCTAAACTGGGAAGAGACTGGGGTTTGTTTAAGCCTCAGGTATCCTGGTGTTTTAACTCCATTACATGCTTACCAAAAATAATACCACAAGATGATTTTCAGGGGACACTTCTAGACTCAAACCATAGCCAGGGTTTGGTTGGTCCTGCCTGTGCCTCCCCCTTCTCAACTTTTTAACAGCTTTTCAAAGTAAAATTGAAATACAGTAAAGTGCCCATGAAGTCCAGTTTCGTGAATTTTGATGTATATGTATACTGGTAAAATCATCATCCCAATCAAAATAATGAACATATCCATACCCTCAAAAGTTCAAGTTCTTTCCCATCACCTTAACCTTTCAATGTTTTTATATTGCTCTGTGGCTGCCCAGTGCCTCTTCCGTGTAGTACTACAAGGGTGAAATTATTCCTTCTTTCCCAGTCCAAACTACCATTTTTTAAATGCTACTGATTTCAAGTACTGTAGTTATCACTTTATTTACAATAATTTGCCAGAAGATAAAATCTCATAGAGCAGGGCCGCCATATATATGATTCATTGGAAAAATCCTAAGTGACGAGGATTTGCAGTGAGGTATGGGCTGTCTATCCCACAGGGGCCCCTTTCTACCCTGGCCCCGCTTCTCATCGTTTGTTGGTATTATACAACCTGAGTAATTCTGAGAGGTTCAAGGCAGTAGATACTTCACCTTGTGGCTATTACAGATTCACAGATTGAATGTAATTTCAATTTCTGTTTCCCTTTTTTCACCCTGTACTTCAGTGTTTCTTTGTTGTGGTTTAAGTGTTTATCTTTCTCACCTTAGCACTCTATAAGGAGTCTAGTCAAGGCCTAGTATGTCAGGAGGATGAAACAGGGCTTGGGTTTTTTTTCACGCTTTAAGTATCCATAGGTATCACAAGTACTTTGCCCCATAAGGGCTTTTCTGGTCGACCCCTGATTGCTTTGTAATTTTGAGTGTGATGCCCACTGTATGATATTAGGTCAGTGACTTAACAACCTAAGCCTCATTTTCTTTATCTGTGAAATACAAGTCATTATAATTATTCCATGAAGCTATAATAAAAATAAATGATTTACTGCGGGTAAATTGCTTAGTGCTGTTCTAGACATAACAATAAGCAGTTGGTAAATGTTAGTTAGTAATGTTTGTTGGTACAGTGACGTGTTCACTTTAGAGTGGGACCTGGTTTGGTCTTCACAATACATTTTTTCATTGACAACTTAGTGCTGCTGAATTATTTTGCCTTTTTTTCTATTCTAGAATCTGGAAGTGACTATTGTAGATTGTGACTATTCACTGGAAAAATCTATTACAAATAGGCTATATATCTTAATTGCTTTTTAAATGTAGTTAGTGCAAGAGAAAGGAAAATTAAGCTTCTGCTTTATTAGGAACCCAGGAAGTATGTGCTTCCTTTGGGAGTTGAATCTTAACTCTCACTTCACACTGAAATCTACTTGTTGCATCCTTTCCAAATACAGGCAGCTGCTAGAGAAGAAATCCTCGATAACGGAGGGAGCCTGTCACATCACCATGGAGGTATTCTCTTTTGATATTCCTAATGTAAATTTCTGATATTCCTAATGTAAAAAACATTTGGTTTAATGAAGTGCTAGGGAGAGTTGTAATATGAATAATACAGGAGCACCTGAGATTTCTTAGAAGTTTTTATGTCTCTCACTGAGAAAGTCTAGGTTGTGGTAATAACCAACAGAAGTTTTACTAGACAAGCCTGCTTAGATGCGAGAGGGACCCCCAAAACAAGAATCTATTTATAAAAAATTGTGTATTTATTCATACATGTTTAAACTCCAGTCACCTTCAAAGTACTCTCCATTTAATGCAATACACCTATCGAGATGTTTTTTCCCACTGCTCAAAACAGTTTTTGAACTCGTTGATTTGATGCCTTTGAGTGCTTCTGCCATTTTTTGTTTCACCTCTTCCACATTGGAAAAACGTTTCCTTTTGAGGACTTTTCTCATCCAGGAAAAAAAAAAGTCCATGGGGTGAGGTTAGATGAATAGGGAGGGTGGAGGGCAGGGGTCATGCCGTTTTTGGTCAAAAACTGCTGAATACAGTGTGGTGTGGGCAGGTACGCTCATAAATCACCCATCATGAAACGGGCAGATGCATTGAAAGAGTGTTCAAAAAAAATTCACTGAAGCCAAATGCAGCCTCTTACTACAATGCCAGGTGGTACACTGGTAGAGATGGGTTCCTAGAACACTCACCTAGCAGGGGAAACCTGTACTACAAGGGGCCCACCCTTCAGAAGATAATTACATTTTTTGTTTATTTGTTTTTTAGTCCCCCCTCACAGGAACCTAGACAGCCTTCTCAGTTCTCAGGGAACTTCACGTTCCCCAAGAATCACCTCACTTGCCTGGCAGGTATTTAACCATTACAAGCAAACGTTTTTGAAGGGAAAAAAAAAGAAAAACAACACAAATGTTTTTCAGCCGCTATTGAAATGTAGCTCTATGTCAGTTGTACCATATACTGATGAACTGTTTGTCCCACCTACCCAAAATTCAGTAAATTAATCAAGACAGGATGCAAAAAAAATGTTTTTCCCAAGATTTTAATGGTGTTTTGTTGCTCGGTGACCATTGTAGTAAATATTAAGGTTTATTAGAAAATTGATTATATCAGTAAAGATTAAGATGTATCCACCTATGTATTAGCAGCAGTGTTAGGAAAGTTATATGAGGCATTTTTTTAAAAAGTGAAACAATGGCTATCTGGTTATTAAAATGATAATTTTCAAGGTTATACACCTGTCCCCATTAATAGAAAATTGTTCTGAGTATGTCCTTCAGTATAATTTGGTGCTTAGGAAAATAAATATATTTGATTTTTAAATTTAAAAATATTTTAGGGGGGAGCATAAAGATGAACAACCGCCAATTAAAAAATGCAGCTCCTGCCCCTGCCCTGGAATCTCTATATCCCTCTTTCCCTGTGTGATTTTCACCATAGCGTTTAGCATTATCTAACATGTTATATATTTATACTTCTTAAAAGTAGCAACCTCCTCCTTCAGGAAAATGAGGGTTTTCAGGCAGGGATTCTGTTTTGTTCATTGCTATATACCAGCACCTAGAGTAGTGCACCCTTCCCACGCCCTCCCTGCCGTCACCGCTTCATACGTGTATGTAGAATAAATAAAATAATTTTGGTAGAAAAAGGAGTGAGCTATAGAGGATCTGTGTTCCTTACACCATTATTGCAGCCAGGCCTGGAGAAGATGACACATGTAGATGAATGACTAGAAAGACAATTCCCAGCATTGCTGTTGCCTTATTTTTTTCTTAACCCCTATACATAAATTTCTAACTTTGCTGACTGGTAAGCATTACAGTGAATGAATTTGTTCTTTTCTTCCTCTTCCTTTTATCAGTGTTGTCTTCTGATGGAGATTCTAGTGAATGTTAGAATGACAAAAATAAAGGAGGAAAATGAGTATTAGAAAGCTCTCAAGTGCAGTTAAAAGCTTCTAATTAATCTAAAAGTCTACACCTGATTTTGGAAATTTAAACATGAGGCATTTTGTAAAGATATTTATATTTTTGGCACCTTCCTTTAAAATGCTCAGCCAGCCATATACATTATTTAAAATCTTTCTTATATATTCTCTTTCAGGATGCCACTATATTAATATGTAAGGAACTTGTAAAAATAGATACTATCATGAAGTAATGACATATTCTTTTTTTTTAAATATTTTATTTATTTATTTTTAGAGAGGGAAAGGAGGGGGAGAGAGAGAGAGAGAGAGAGAAACATCAATGTGCGGTTGCTGGGGGTCATGGCCTGCAACCCAGGCATGTACCCTGACTGGGAATTGAACCTGCGACACTTTGGTTCGCAGCCCGTGCTCAATTCACTGAGCTACGCCAGCCAGGGCTTAGTAATGACATATTCTTCATTCTTAATTGATTGCATGGAGGGAGGAGGCAAAATAATTTAGCCGTAATTACTTAGAGAAAAAAAGTATTCCTTTCTCCAGTCAATTTTGCCTGTTGGTACATGTCAGCAGCCAACAGGGAACTTTCTCCTTTAAGACCCGGAACTGCACGTTTCACATATATGATGGTAAATGTTGGAGAGATGTGATTCTGCCAGAGGGTGAGAACAGCTGAATCTTATATATGGGAGGAAATAGTAGCTTAATTGTCATTTAGGTAATTGGTTTTAGATACTTTATTTCCTTGGAAACTTGGATTTTGTTGTATGTGAAAGCTATGGTAATAGTCCATTGCATTAATCAATACACACAAGTACGAGTTCAGAAAATACAGTTGGAAGGGTGTAAACAATTACCTATAAGATCATGATTCAATTCTTGATCCCAAAGCAAACAATGTAAATAGCCTCCTGATGATTTTTTAATACAAAGTATGCTTAGTGCCTTTTAATATTGTTGTGTTTTCCATTTTATATTATTGGTCCACTTGGGCAATAGGGTTTCAGAGAATTACAGTTTTTTTACTGAAGAACTTGACTGTCCAGTAAAATAAAATACGATAACATTTCAAAAGGCCACTGATCAAAACTGGTAGGATTATGTCATGCTACTTTAATCAAGGTAAAGGTTTCCCATTTTCTTTGAAAAACACTCAAAAGGTAACTTTAATAAACAAGTAAATGCTACAGATGTTGAAACAGTGAAGATAAGGGAGATAGAACAGGGAAAGTAATTAACATTTATAAAGCTATAAATATTTGCTAGGTGCTCTGCTAACTTAATCTCCTGTAGTTATTCTTCTCGAAATGCTGTGGAGTAGATATTATTTCTTTCAAATAAAGGTACGCTAAAACTCAGAATGTATAGTAAATTGCCCAAAGGTATGAGCAGTAATCACGAGTGCCAGAATTTGAATTTCAGTTCATGTCCTCCTGCTCCACATCCTGTCCTCTTGCTTAAGGCCTTAAAATAGCAAAAATAGGCAAAAAGCTAAAGAGTGAAATGAACAAATAGCCTTTGAAGAGAGACACAATTTTAAAAGTGTATGAAAAGAAATACTAAACATTATTGTTTTTCTTTTAAAATTATAAAACCTCTATTTAATTTTGACACTAGTTTACCCGCCTTACTTCAGATGTTAAAACAAATGAATCAGCAATTTTAATTTCCTTATTCTAGATAGTTCATTGTTTTCTCAGTCCTTGCACAGAAGTCAGTTTGACTTTTTGGTTTTTATACTTCCTCATTGTAGGTTTCTAACATGTTGGCCATATCAGGTAATAAAATCATTGAAGGTCAGATCACGTTACATTTTATGTGCATTTTTAGGTTCTAGGCTTATAGGCCTTTATTTGCTGACGACTCAAATTTGAAGAAATAATTTATTTTTAGAAATTATTAGCTATAACTTGAATATAGCAAGGTTTGATTGCATATTTATTGAGAGATTCTGTCTCATATAAATAGAAATTTTTATTTCTGTCATATTTCTCATATTTTTAATTTCTATGTGGTCAAAAATATGACTACATGGAAGCCAACTAAACTATTTGGTTTCATTTGTTGCTTAGAAGAAACTAGGTAAGCCTGAATACAAAATATATTTCATATGTGCTGGGACAGTGAAGTGCTTCCCTTTGCAAGCTCAGCTTCTAAACTGCTAAATAAAGATCGGAGTGCTCCAGGGCTCAGCCCTGAGGCAGTTTGCTCTGGGTGTTCATTCACTCCCTTAGGCATCACCTCAGTAGGGGGACTTCAAACACCATCTGTGTGCCGCTGCTTCCCAAATAGCAGAAGAAGGCATCAGCCACCACTACCACCAGGGCCACTGCAGCAGCATCCCAACCGGTCTCTCTGCTTCCACTCTTGCTCCCCTACTGCTTCTTCCCTTGCCGCCAGAGTAATCTGTGTAAAACTCAGTGTTTTCTCCTCACATTCAGAGTAAAACACGAAGTTCTTATCAGAACCTTCAAGGATACTCACAGTGAGTCTTTCTGTTTGTCCTCATCTCTTAGTACTTTTTTCCTCTAGTAGTATTGGCCTTCTTGCTGTTCCTCAAATGTATCAGGCTCTCCTGCCCTTCAAGTCCTTTGCTGGTTGTTCCCTTTTTTCCTGATGGTCTTTGCCTTGTTTCTCCCTCCAGATGTTTGCATCGCTCACCTTCCCCTTCATTTCTCTCTCTGACAAAAATGCCACCATCTTAGAGATGTCTTCCCTGTTCTCTTGAGTAGTTTCTGTGCTCATTTGAGTAAGTTCAGCGAGGTTACTGACTTTATCTTGTTCATGACTGTGTTCCCATGTCCCTAGAACTGTGCCTGGCAGGTCTACACAGTAGATGTTCAATGAATATGTTAAGTGAGTAGGTAAGTGCTCACAGACTTGGGGAACTTTTACAAACTATCACATATCTCTGAATTTTTCATATTAGAATGGCATTAGTCTCATTGCTAATTTAGTTTCACATGTTTAATAATCAGGCCTTTTTTGAATATAGAATCTAATTGTGGAATGGCTCAGGTTCTGAGATCTGTAGAGAAGTATCCAGCCATGTAATTTGAAAAATAGAGAC